TTCAGCGAGTGCCGAAGTGTGCCATTTTTCGTTTACTAGTAAACGAAAAGTCGAAACTTGTAAGCGAAAAGACTTTTCGTTTGCTAGTAAACAAAAAATCGAAGTTACAAGTTTCAAAAGTCGAAACTTGTAAACGAAATATTACATTACATGTCCGAGCCTTGGAAAACAGATTACCGTCCCCCACGTGCAAGATTGCCTTCCGAGCTGAAGGCGAGCGCAGCGCCACGAAAATGGGGTTTTTCAGGTCCTGTGACACGAAAAAACTTTTTCATCACGCTGTGACGAAAAGTGAACTTTTCGGCACGCTCCGCGTGCCTAAAAGTCCAACTTCCGCCACATTGTGATGAAAAATATTGTTCGTAACTCGTGAAAAAATATTTTTTGCACTCGTTACGAAATATACTAATTCGTTTACTAGTAAACGAAAAGGCACTTTTCGACACGGCCTTCAGCTCGACACCGTGCCCCCTCGGCTTGTCTCGTCTCGTCTATCGCTCGGCTGCGCGTGTCCTACGACTCTCCCTAAAAACATTACCCCACTCGTATTAACATTCCCCCTTTTTCACACTTATAACATAATATACGATTCCAGCACTACTCTTTGTTATTCGTTGCTCTTATACGTATTTTGCTCCCGGAAAATGCTCGTTTTATATGAACCGAGGAATAGTAGTTTGTTGTTCCGGCTATAGAATAATCACAGACGAAAAACGACAACAATCTTACAACTTAGGAACAAAATATATCTTGGTAAACATCTCTCTACAAAAGATTTTTTTCTTCTGAAAGAGCACCGTCTTGTATGAATGATCCGCCTCTTGAGCTAAATATTTCGCTATTGTTGAGAGCAGAGCAATTATTCATGTTTGAGACTTTCACATTTGAACCAAACCATTATTTTTTTGGTAATTTTCAACTAACGATTTTGTTAGCTCAAACAAGACTTGTTTGAGAACTTGTTCGTTTTACTCAGTGAACGGAAATTTTTTAATAGTCATAACTTGGTAACAAATTTGTAAATTGAATCTCATGGGCTCATTACAAAGGAGAATACTTTACTATCGATTAGTAATACCGCGAGACATTTAATGAGACATCACGAGACAAAACTTTAGAGAAATGATCTCGGTCTCAATGAACATGGAAATCTTCATTCTCCTCTCAGTCTCGAAATGAGTAATATCGACTCCTCTCGTGATGACTCTGAGTCAATTTACCTCATCGCGGTTTCCATTTTTCCGCGTTTTTTATATGTAGAAAACAACCGAGACGAGACAAACCGAGACAAAAACCGAGATTTTACATTAGCAAACAGGAAAAACTTGAGACCGAGATGAGATAAATTGGCTCGGAGTCATCACTACATATGTCGAGACTGAGACGAGAGCAAAGATTTCCATGTTCATTTTGAGAAGTTTGAAGATTATCTCTCCAAAGTTTTGTCTTGTAAAGTGTCTCGCGGCATCACTACTTTCGATGGAAAAAAAATCTTGTTCCATCAACAAATCGCAGAGTCATTATCATTTCGGAAAAGTTTCCACTTACCCCCATTCGCCCCTATCGACTAATTAGAATGCATCATCAAAATCATTAGCAAATTATGTTTCAATTTGCCTTCTTTTAAAGCTTGCCAATGGAAATATAAAATCAACAAGTGGTTGATAGCTCACTTCGTTGGGGACCATGAAACGTGACGATATGATGGAAAATGGAGTTTTGATTTTTGGGAGAATATTATATGTCCTCTATCGGGAAGATGATGAGCAACAAAAAACGTAGTTCTATGTTGAGACGTTTTCCACATCCCTCCGGATTAATAATCGCCAAACTTGTAATAATTCGTCTATTCAACGAAAATCCTAAAACTTCCAAATACCTACTCCGAAGTTTATCATCACAGTTACATTCATCCCCCGTAAATGCCCTTGACCTCCCGCAAAGATGCAGTTATTTATTAATTTTTATTCGTCTTCAAAAAACTCCAACTTCCTCAGCCATTAACGGTCATAATAGCAATTTAAATAAAAATCAATAATGGCTGAGGAAGTTGGAGTTTTTTGAAGATGAATGGAAACGGTTGGAGTAATTTTGGAGTGAATTTTTATGCGTGTTCATTCGGTCGCTAAAAGTCCTCTAACGAATGTGCAAAGTAGCAAAAAAAATGACTATGAATTTTGAAAATTTTACTCAAGTTTGCCTCTAAATATTTCTGCAACTAGTAGTAGGTTTATTGAAAAACTTTAAGATATTTTGTTTTTTTGAAAATGAAAGGTTTCCAATTCAGTCCCTTCCTTCAGATAGTCGCAAAATCATAAACAAATTGCTTTCGTAAGGGAGGTTGGGATAAAACGGACACTTTTGACTTTTTTGCTTCCGAATGGAAGATTTGTAATCGGTCGATTTTTCGATTTGCTAATTTTGCCTGGAAATGACTTAGAATGTCATGAAACGCCGAGATATGATGTTTTTAGAAAATGTACGTCCGTATGTGCGTACAAAATTTTGGGTTTTTTATAAATTTACACAAAAAAAGAGGTAAAGTGATAGAAAGCTGAAATTTTGGCTCATAATTGGTCATACTTGGGAGCATATCTGGACCAAATTTCAGCTCAATCGGTCCAGTAGTCTTTGAGATATAGCGATTCCTCAAAAATTTTCTTTTCTCAATATCTCAAAAAGTACTGCATTGAATTGACTTTTTTTGGCGTAAAAATATTCCTTATGATAATGTCTATCGAATCGGACCATAATATCCCTAGTGAACTAGGATGAGTCGCCCTGTAATTGATCTTTTTCATTTTTGTGGTAAAATCCATGGAAACACGATAGCGCTCGTAAAAATCGAGAGAGGAAGTGGAAATTTGGGAGGATTATAGCTCTTACCATATTATCGGCTGGAATTGTAGATAGGCGAAATCGAATGAATAGTTTTAGAGATATTCAATTTTTTGTATAAAACTATATTATTCAATATCTCAAAAACTATTCATCCGATTTCAATTTTTTTTTAATACTCGACTTGATGTCTCCTATCTATTTCTTTCAAAATCTATATATGCGTCCATATAAAATTTTCGAGATATTGGTGTTTTTCGATTTTTTTTTGACTGAAAGTGGCTCTGACGTTCCATTACATGAGTGAAGGATGTGATAAAGTTGTGAAATGTTGATGACTAGTTAGTATCATCGAGTTGCACTCTTGTATAAAATTTCAAATTAATCGATTCAATACTTTTTGAAATAGAGCAATTGATGTAAAAAACTTTTTTCGTATAAAATGACCTGTCGTTGTACTATCATTCATTTTTATATGGAAATATTTTTTCGAAACGAGGTCGTGTAGATATGCTGATCCCACTGGATAAAACGGAAATTTAACTCAATTTCAGAAGGTTAAACCTTTCGAGGCTCAGATTTTTCAAGAATTGAAATGTTGGAAGGCTCATTCATTTTAAGAGTCAGACATTTTCATGGTCAATCATCATAAGGCTTAAAAATACACCGAAGGACCCATTTTAGTATCCATTTTCGCAGAATACTTAAGGCATGTAGGTAGAGTTTGACTCCTTGAAAAATATTTTCATTTTTCTTTCTTAATCATCAATTTATTCATCAAATATAGTCGTTTGTAGTGTCAAAGGGACAAACCTCTTTTCAAGATATTATAAAATCCCCGTTCAAAGGCGGGCTTGAACTCGCGCGGTATAAATCTATCGTGCAACCAAGCCACATTTTAACCACTTCGGTCACTACGGATCCATTCGGAAGCCTTCTACCAATGGAATTGGTCGAAATGAAAAATGAAAAAGACTAGTAACACATAAAAAAGTTACATGCCTTCTGCCGGATAGGCTCGCCCCCCTGCTTGTTTTAAATGTTACTGAGGAGTTGAAATATTGATAACATTTAATAATTTTTCTTTCAATACAAAGAACAATTCCTTCCCTTTGGGACGAGCCTAAACTGAGCTCAATTGATCAATTTGTTTCTGAGTTATGAATAATTTTAAAAAAATCCAAAGTGTCCGTTTTACCCGACCCTCCCCTATCTGTTTCCATTCCCCGACTGGAGGAACAAGGAAAGATTATGGAAAATCGACTACGACAATTTGCAAAGTAGGTTCTCTATTCACCATTTTCCCTCATTCGTACTGCTCTGCTCTCCTCACCTCATCACGCAAAAATAACTTGCAATTGAAGTCGAAAAAATGGTTCAGAATTTAAATAAAAGTGTATTTTTATTCAAAAAGTTCCCTTCAGTTATCAACGCCCCTCCTGAAACCCTCTTAAATACCGTAAAAACTCTTCACAACCACCTCAGAGTGAAGAAGCAAGTCTTAAGTCAGGCCCACTCCCTCGATATCCCCTCAAACACGTCTAAATCACACATCCAACCAACCAACCTTCCTACCTTCCCCACCCCTCACCATACTTCCCACTAGCTATCTGCAACTTCACAAAGTTCCCAACCTCTACATCCAGCTCGAAAAGAAAAAAAAAGTACGTGACAAACTTTGCATTACCACTGCTCCAATCTCTCCACTACATACAAAAATTCCTACGAAAACTGTGGCGTGAGTTCTCACCAACAGGGGGGCACACCGCAATGGAGACGTTGTAACAACGGAACGCTCGCGATATTTTCTCAGTGCGATATCGCGATACAATTCCCCACGAAATTCCTAAACTCTGCCCTCCCTAAACACCTCTTGATTCCTTGGAAATCTTCATCCAACAACTTTCCTTACCCGACTACCCAGCGTAGGGCGCCGAATAATCGTTCCAAAGCTCATGCAAAACGACTCGAAAACTTGATGAAAAAAAAAGAAGTAGACGTAACTCAGAGGAAAAAGAAGAGTGAGAGAATCCGCCACGAATAAACAAAAGGTCGGGGAAAAGTCGGAGTCGCCAACATTTTTCACTGAATTGTTGGGCGTCACAGAGAGTAATCAAGCCCTTGAATATATAATGATTAGTTAATAATCATAATGAACTTACCAATGAGGCCGAAATTTGTTTCGGTATATTGTTGTAACAGAATGAAACAACGGGAATAACTTAACAATGTTAAACCCGTGAAAAACACACACCAGTACCGTTGCAGGGTTGCCTCTTATACGCCTGGTACTACTTGCTGCTTTTTCACACTACTACCATCTGCTGGTGAATTATTGTAATATTAATACATAGTCTATTTGTGCTAACGCATTGGTCCCTGGGTCCCTGGGACGTGTTGCTTCGATATCCCCTTTCGCTGCGTCCACTATTTCGAGGAAATCTACCCCTCGATGTTTTAATGGTAAATCTTGAATTCAATGATTCTGGGGGCGGGGACTACATGCTTTAGATGCAGCCAGACGATCCCCCGCAAATTATATCATCGATACGTTGTTTATATCAATGCATTTTCTTTTTTAATTACTTAATAATTATTTAATGATTGTTCGTCCTGCTGTTTCAACCGTTACCAATTAATAAATACAATCACAGAGCCTATATTCGTGGTTTATTTGTACTGAAAATTTATCGAGTTTGGGGAGTTGATAAATTAAAAGTTAGCGGAACACAATTTGACACGGATTTTTACTCCTTAATATAAGGAATATTAATGCAATGGAAATAGAAACACTGGTATGTAGATATAGTCACACTGATGTAAAATTAGGTTCGTTCGTGATAACTTACGAGTGGGAATGGGATAATGAGAGAGTAAGAGATTATCCAAAGTTACCCACTGGCACTTTTTTTCGACCATGTGAACTCAACATCCTTTTTATTACCACTGACAACTGGCTATGTTTTAACACTGAGTCGAATGTTCTCTGAACCGGTCTACTATGCTCGGATTTGGATTCGACTTGGATGATTGAAAATTCCAACCTTTTTTAGGGGTGTCAGGGACTAGTTAATGGGGGGGGGGGGGCACTTTTTGCACTTTAGGGGCGTTGGGAGGTATGGAATTAGGAGATTGGCTTTGGGTAAATTTTTAGATGATGCACACGAGAATGAAAAGAAAGACGCGCCCGTGAGCACACGTCAATGGCTGACCACATCGACCCTTATATTTAACAGAATCAAAATGGCGGCCCTACGGATTTTTGCACGTACCGTGCTTTCCACGTGCCGGCAATATTCAAGGGGAATTGACGGGTTGTTTTCGCCGGGGGATGCTTTCGGGCCGAGAGTAAGTATTGGGAAATAATGGCTGAATTAGTTATCCTGAAGTTCTTGGGGCTGAGAAGGATTTTTAGGTTGAGTTGAGTACATTTGTTTATTGAAGGTTTTTCAAGAATATCTGCCCACTGAGGGGTAGTAGGAATTTGAAATATGCTTGTTTAGATTCCTTAGGAATTGCTGAAATTTATACGTAAGGTGACAATTCACTTGTTAGATTTTTTAAATATTTTTCGGGGGGTTAAGGTTTCTATGAAATAGACGATAGGAGGTATCGTGTCCCATTGAATTTTAGCATTCAATGGAACATCAATGAAGGAGTAGAATGTAATCTCTCAAAATATTGCATTTTTTATAAATTTGCATTTGAAGAAGAACAATAATTCAAGGAGACAGTTTCAGCCTCATCCCAATGTTTTTTTCTAATTACAGATTTTTTTTAGATGAATTAGCAATTGGAAAACATTTAAAATGGAACTTAGAATTAATTTCCAATTCACAAATGAATATTGATAGGGCATAAAAGTTTGGCAATTGGTTAAATGATGTAGAATATTATGAGAACTACTTCACTGAATTGAATTTTTATATGCCAAAATATTCCTTGTGATTATATTTATTAAATGAAGTCAGAATATCCCTATGTAACTTTGGAAAGCTTAATGGTTATTGACAAGTTTCATTTTTGCGATTGAATCGATGTATGCACGATAATTCTCGAATAAACTGAGGAAAGGAGTTTAAATTCAATAGACTTGTAGCTTTTGGCGAAATCGAATGAGTGGTTCGAAGGTATTCAACGCTTTCTAAGAAAAAAACTATTGTTCAATATCTCTAAAACTACTTGGCAGATTGGAATTTTTTTTTGCAAAATACTCGTTTTGCAATTTTTTATCGAAATCAATGAAAATACCAATAGTTATTACAAACAATACCAAGTTTTTGATAAATGGATGTTTGGTGTTCCATAATACGAATAAAGGTTAGAATATAAATTTCAATTTTTGATTACTAGTTAGTATTGCTGAATTATACTTGTGCACAGGATTTTGGTGCACACGTCTATTACTTCAATAGTTGCTGGAAATGAGCAATTCATGTAAAAATCTTTTCATTGCAAAAAATTACACATTGTCATTTTTTCGTTGATTCTCGCATCTAGGTGACATAGAAAGTCCTATCACTTGAAATGAAGCAACTTTCCACCTTATACTATGTCAATATTTCATAAATTTTGCTTGTATACGTATCTCTGTGATAGATAGGGGGTATAACCTCTTTCTAAAGGTGAAAACCTTTCAAAAGTTTTCATCATTAGTCGAAGTAAAATATTCTAATCAATAGTCAGTTGTATCTGTATGAAGAAGTAACTTAGAACCCATTCCGAAGTTTACTCCTTATGGAAATGGTAGAAATGAAAAGAATATCAAGTCTCATAACACATGAAGGGATGATCACTTACATAAAGCATCTGTCGCATCTTTTTTGTTGAGAAGCCTGTTTTTCTATGTGGAAACCAGTACTGACTGTAGCACTAATACAGTGAATAGAATAGAAATGGTACCAATTTTCTCGAATGTTAGTTTACAATTGACAACAAAGACTCTCGTATAGACTTTTTGTTATGAAATCAAAGAAAATTGCAATTGATTTCCTACTGAAATTTGCCTTTAACATCAATTGTTTGTCTACAACATATGACAAAAGCTGCAATTTTTCAAAAATCATATTTTACAAACAACTTGGCGGATTTTGGTAAATAAAAATTTTTTTTTTCATGTACTTTTCGAATAAAAATACGACAGTAACATGCGGACAAATACTAGCCCATTTTTCGAGTTTATTTTTTAAATTTCACTGTTACACAGGGGCCAGAAGAAAATCAGATGATTCATTTTTTCTTCGATGGACAATAATAATAGACAATTTTTTCGGACCATTTTAAAATGGGACAAACTTCCCTTAAGGGAAAAACCTGCCCTGATGCAGTCGTTTGTTGAGAGACTCCCGCTCGGCAATGAAACTATGAAATTGAGAGTATCATAAATTTGGCGCCACAACCGGGAAGCGAACCTAGGTCTCCCGCATGCAAGCCCTACATTTTAACCACAGAGCTGCAGCCGTCGATCGTTGGCCTTCAATTTTGGTCCATCAATCATGCGATTTTGATCAATTAACGATATTTGGAATGAAATATGAATATAAAATGGAGAAAAATCTCTTATCCTTATCGCCAATAACGTATTTCATCATGAAATTATGCGAAAAAATTCTATATGATTATCATTTGTCAGAAGTAAAAATTTTTTTTTCATTTCTGCTGGGCCTTTGGTTATGATTAATTGTGAAAGAAAAAGAAGCAGCGCGATAGAAGCCATTTGACAGATTACATACGACTGCTACTCTTCACGTATTTTTTTTCTCCTATTTTCATTTATACCAATTTCATTGGTAGTAGGCTTCCGAATAGATCCCAATATATGGTGTCAAAAAAAAAAGGCATAAGGATTACCATTTTTTGAAAATATTAAAGCCAATCCCACTCATACTCCATGACAAAAAATAATTTTTTTTTCTCAAAATATTGGATGAATTCTTCCATCTCAAGAACTATCAAATATATCAACCTAAAATTTCATATAGAAATGTTTCTTGACAATCCTAATTAGAAGCCAAAGTTTAAAAAGGTTTCCCTGACTTTTACCCATCTCATGGTGTGCAAAAGTCAATTCCGACCAAAAAAATTTTAAAACGACGATATCTCGAAAAATTTCAATGGGATGGTATCCATATTTTATTGGATCTAGATAGATGACATCAAAACGTACATTTTGAAAGAAAAAATTGAAATCGGTCGAAAAAAATTTCCCTCGTCTCCATATGGAGATCTCGCCTTAAAATACCCCGAAAAAGTTGTGCATTATTGCTGTCCATCGAAGAAAAAATAAATCAATTGATTTTCGTCCGACCTCTGCGTAACAGGGAAATTTTTAAATTGAAAAATGCGAAACATGGGCTAATACTTGACCGCTGAATACTGTCATATTTTTATTCGAAGAGTATATGAAAAAAACTAAAAAAATACTTTCTTATTTATCAAAATTCGTCAATTTATTTATAAGATATGATTTTTCCAAGATTTGAGCTGTTGTCATATGTTGTAGACAAACAACATATGTTAAAGAAGTGAAAATTTAGAGAAAGTATGTACTTATGGAGTACTTGACAGTGAGTATACCAATTCAGGATTCTCAGAACCAAAAAAATTCAATGTGGTTGAGTTGGCATGGATTGTTTCATATACTAAAATATGGTTAAAATCAATTTTAAAGAAACTGAGATGGATATGGAGATGATCTTTAATCAAAAGTTAATGAATGTATAGTGAAAGCAGTAGAAAACAGTTTGTCAATAATTTATAGATAAGTTGGCATCGTTTCCTCGATGTTCAAATCAATGGCAGGAAGGTTAATGAGTCAATTCCCGAGTCTTACTGTGAAGTTCTCGGGATCAAAGAAAAATAGCGGAGTTTTAATGAGAATCTTCGTTGTACAGAAAAACTATAGTTATTGAAAACGATCTCTATTCATTCCGAAATTTTCACGAAAACTCCTAGTCAACTTACTAATGCCTCCAATTATCGTAATAATTGAATATCTGGCATTGAGAACTTGAACATTTTTCATTTTCACCTTATAAAAGTATTTTTCATCGACATTCGACAATTGACACTGAAATTGCATCTTTCGAGTGGAATTAAAATACAAACAGCATAATTTCAATTCCTCCTTGACCACATTAATAATTCATTAGCCCAATTTGCCAAAGGACTTTCGGTAGCTGTTCAAATTTCCAACGGAGATTATCCTCTAATATATTCACCTCATCACTGACCCTCTGGAAGGTTTCATATTCAATAAAGATAAGAAAAATAAAATAAAACAAATTTTTCCTTGAATTCCATGTTTTTTTGACAATTCGTAATCTTTAGAAATTCTGGTCAGGTCGTTATATATATCGAAAAAATTGGCATTACAGGTCGCGAAACGATGGGCCAGTTTCAAAACCTCCCCTGTATACAATGAAGAGACAAAATATACAGACTTCGAGGTCTCTAAAGACCCAAAGGAATGGATGTTTGTGGAACGATGTTTAAAATTGGCTTATATACCTAGTCCTCCAAAAAACGTTGATGCTTTACCCTCTGGATGGAAACCACAAAGAGGTAAATAAATAATCCAATCTATTTAAAAGTTGTTCAATACGAGTTATTTTGTGAATTAATTAAAAAAGTTTTCATAAATATTATATTATAAAAAAACTTCAAGATTAATACATCAACAGAAAGATCTATGAATAGGGTCTCGATGAATATCTCTATTGCCTTCGTGGAAGACATTATCAAGATAATCACAAAATTCTCCTTTCAAGGAGATCTACTAATTCACTGGACTTTTTCTGGTTCATTCTCATCTTTTAATAAATTGTTCGTTTCAGATGAAGCAAAATCATTCCCTTACTATATAGAACGTTCGAAAAATCATCAACAATCAGTTTATCTGAGGAGAGATAAACGAGGATTGAGAAGAGTCACATATGTTAGGAAAATCCAAGGAGACATCGTCGCTTTGCATGCGGAACTGAAGCAATATCTGTACGAATTAACTGGCGTTCCGATTGGTTCTCAAATTCTGGAGCCCAATGGTGTTTTAAAATTCCGTGGTGATCACGTCTCCCGCATCAAAGAGTGGCTCACCGAGAGAGGATTTTAAACAACTCCGAAGAGCAGCCGATAGAACAGTCCCAAAATTTACTCTGAAATATTTTGATAATTGCTAACGTAAATGTCAAGAAACTCATTTTCTGGAGAAAAAGTTTTATACAAAAAAAAATGTACAAAAAAACATTTTTCTTACATTTTTTTTGTATTCCTCTAAATCTCTTCTATCCCATGATTTTTATCAACTTATCAATAAGCTGGATTCATCTGTTGTTCTGCTCTTACACTAAAATTCAAAATCATGCAGAATTTTAGTTATCGATTGTATAAATAAATGAATAATAAACACTTTCTCTTGTTCAAATTTTCATTTTTAATTAAAATAACAATCCATCATTTAGCAATAAAAAATGGCGGAGGGGGGAGGGGCGAGGAGGAGAGAAGTTCATAATCGATAAAAATGAGTGATTTGATGATATTATTTTTCAATGTTTATTTCGCGTTGAATAAAGATTTGTCCCTCTTATTGTAAAGCGTATGACGGATTTTATTTAAAAATCTTGCCCTCCTTGAACTTGCGCCCCTGGCTGTCGCTGGCTGTCCAGCTGAAGTATTTGTCAACAAGTTCCTTTGTTGGGGGGTCCTTGGGGTCAAGTTTCTTCCAGTTGTAACAATCGTAATCGACTTGCCAGTCTGGGCTTAACTGTAAAGTAGAAAACAACAAATGTTATTAAAATTGATATTCAAAAAATTATCATATTTACAAGGATTTTTTCAAGAAATTCGATGCCAATTCATCAGAACTCATGTTTCAATTGCTTCGGCATGTTGTGCCAATTGAATCTGTAATGTAATTGCGAGTCATCATGAGTGGAACAACTATAAAAAAGTCCCATGATTCTTTCAAAATTGAGATTTATCACTTCCTTACGGAATTTGTGATTCACGTTCATTAGAATTGCTCATTGAAATACTCAAATAATAGTGATTCCTTTAATATTTAAACTAGGGGAGAGTGAGGCAAAATGAAACAGCCAAAACACGACTGACGCAGTTCAAGCAAAAAAAAATTTTTTTTATCAACTTTTGTGTATTAACTTTTTTAATTATTGGGAGTACTGATGAGAATAATAATGTTTTATTCGTCTTATAATTCAATTGATTACAATTCAATTGATTAGATTAGGCCGATTACACTTTTTTTTTCATTCGATTGAAATTCAGTATCACATTTTCCTTTTCCCCATCTGGATCTCCCCCTGGGCCTTCCTCGGGACTTTGGATTTTGATGTTTCATTTTCTTTTCAACTAATCCATTGACAAAATCTTCTCCCATCAAGACTTCTCAATAATTTTTCATTTTACTACATGAAAAATTATTATTCTAATCAGTACTTCCAATAATAAAAAAAAAGTTGATAAACAAAAATTAATTTTAAAAAATTGTTAATAAAAAAATTTTTGTTTACTTGAATTGCGTCAAACAGTCGTATTTTCGACCGTTTCATTTTGCGCCACTCTCCCCTAAATAAATCATACTTGCAATGTCAGAGGTAGGGATAGTATACAGTAGGTAGAGATAGATTAACCCTAGATTGGTCACCATATGAGGGAAACGCCGCAGCCCGTCGTTTTTCTTGAATTGCCATTGAATGGCTGATCGGAAAAATTCAAAAAAATTTGACTTTTCCAATTAAAGTATCTAAAAAATTAGAGTACTTTCAGAACAACATAATTCTCGAAATTCCTGAAGAAAACAATTTTTTTCTCACAGAGGAATTATTTTTTCCCCATGTTGAATGAAAGTGCCAGTTACGCGGCGTTGCCGGAAACTCGCTAAACGCGCCCGGGCAGTGTAGAGTGAATTTGGCAACGTTCGGGCCTAAATAACACGGCGGCACTTCCCTGCGGACGTGACCAAAGTCGTTGGGTCGCGTAAGGTGACCAGACTAGGGTTAATGAATGTCTACAGCCTTAGAATAATTGACAGTTCCTTCGCATCTGTATTGACAATTCCGCTACTAAAATAATATCTAAAATATATAAAAATTAAATCAACTAACTGTGAATGCAAGATCTTGTCCACGCCAAACCCAAACACCACTAATAGAGCTGTCATTGTCAGTTCCAAATAGACAGACACTGGCAAATGCTGCTTTCCTCATCTTGTCAAGACGTTGGAACATACCACTGATGAGATTGCAAGACATGAAAGTCTTGGTCAATTCATCGTTGTACTTGTACTCGCCGAACCAGATGCTGTAGTTCTCAGGGTCAAATTTCTCCCAAAAGTAGGGAACTGATACAGCCTCGTCCTCATTAGAGTAGCACCGTTTGAAGTCGTCCATATTGAAGGTACCTTTGGGTAACAGATCAAAGGGATCCTTGGGTTTAGGCTCCGCAGCGAGAGCAGCATCAGCAGCATCAAGCTCCTCAGCTGGCTCCTCCTTCTTTTCCTTCTTGGGTGCTTCTTTCTTCTCCTTGGGCTCTTTCTCCTTCTTTGACTGCAAGTCAATTTTTGATGAATAATTAAAGAATTTAGGTTCCACCGCAGCGAGTACATTGCATGCTCTCGTTGATTTGTGAAATCCTGAATTTTCGAAATGTTGCCATAATTACCGACAATTTTTTGATCAAACCATTACAACATTTCACTGATGGATTGAGCAAAATTATTTGTCGTAATAGAAATTCCATCCGAGAAGAAAAATATATATTTCGAAAAATATATTAATTTATGAATATGTGAAATTGGCTCGCGTCATAATATCTTCATCCATGAAAAAAATAAAAATAAACAAACAAGATTAATGGGCGTTTTTGGAGTCTTTTTTTCATCTGATAGTTTTTTCGTAAATTTAGTCATTCACCTTTCCCTGTGACTGGGCGAATTTCTTGGGATCATACTCTAGGGTTTTGTCAGCCAATTTGAATGTTCCGATGATTTTTATGGCTTCTGGTTGATTAACAATGGTCTGGAACCATCTGTTAACGTTCTGGTAAGGCTGGCGAAGTTTTGGCTCCAGAACATACTGGTATAGGTGGAGAAGGGTCATTGCCACACTGATGTCAGCAAGGGTGATACGCTCACCGACTAAGTAGGTTTTGGGTAGGAGGTGGACGTTCAGGGCAGTCAGGACTTTTGCTACATCCTCTTTAGCATGTTCAATGGTCTGAAAATAATAATGGGATAATGTGAAATGAAATAATATTTTTCAACAATTGAAACAATAGTCTCATCTACCTTTGTTAAACCTACTTCGAAGCTGAGGAAATTTTTCTATGACAAGTTCTCTTAATGATCTATGACCAATGAGATACTAGCTAGTTTTCATAATTAACGATGTGTTGGTACCAATCAATCAATGCAAATTACTTAAGTAATATTCCGAAATAATAATTGATTGATAGTCTTCAATATTCCTCCCTGAGTTACGAAAATTGAAAAAATTTACAATTTCGCCTTTGAGGGAGAAGATAGAAACTACTAATAAAAATAAATGCTCGATACCTGTTTGTTGGACGGCATTATTCCCAAAAGTGGAAATACCCAAGCACAACTCGCAGGAAGAATCTCAGAATCAGCAAAGCCCAGCCACTGAATCACCTCAGCACGTTCAGCTTCAGTCTTTCCACGCAGTTGCTCATTTGCCACTATGAATCATAAATCATTCAATAACTTATTCATAATTTTGAATAAAATCCTTCCAAGGACATGTCCATAGTACAATAGTCAGACTTTAAAAGTAGATATTCCTTGGATTTTCCAATAAAGAAGTCATAAAATATGGTAGGTCAATGTAATACAAGTTTCCATTTTCAGTGAATATATCGTAATTAATGGAAGAGATGGCAAAATTTTTATGAACATTTTTTTTATACGCCTTATTTCATTAAAGATCCGTCAAAAAGTCATCCTCAAGCTAAGTGAACTTATTCTATTTTACCAATTCATAACTGTTTATCGCTACATAGGTAATTCCTGAATTTCCACAGATAAGTGTATATGACTTTGAGTTCCCAAATTTAATAATTCAACTAATAAATATTGAAGCAATAACTTCTCACCATAGTAGGCAATCGCATTGCTCTCTGTGAGGTATTTTCCATCCTTTGATTCAAACGCTGGGACCTAAACATAAAAATCTCATTAACATTAGACTTGCATAAAAAGTGTAAAAAAAATACACGCAATATGAGAATGTCATTAGAAAAATAGAGTGAACAAAAACTAAAAAATTCTGACAATGCTGATGAAATTTTCCCGCACCATATGTGCGTCATCTAGTCATGGGCCTAGTTGCCCCAATCATCCAGAATTACTTATATACCAAAATTAACCAAAAAGTCACTATCTGAGTCATGCGAATTGAACCGAAAACTACTTGAATTCTAATTCTCTGAATATCCCAAAAATTCATCAACTTACCTTTCCCAGTGGGAACTTCTTCAGAAACCCTTCAGATTTATTAGTCTCCCCAAAAACGAAGTCCTCAGCGATTTTCAGCTGAGCACCGGAGTACTGGGCCGCAATTAGGGCCTTGTAAGCCCGGAAATTCTCTGGGTACGTGTACAGAGTCTGTGAAAGAAAATAATTACACCTTTAAGTAACTGAAGGAGTGGATAATCTAATTACACCTCAATAAATTATATTCAATGTTTATTTAGGCGGATGTTTATGGCTGAAAATTGTGAATATTGAAACTTACTCCAGACGCCATTGTGTCTTATTACGGAAAGAGGAAGTCGGAGACCGGTAAAGATGACAAAACTGATGGCAAAGTATAGTGCACGCTATACCGACATCCAAATCCAGCGACTTTGTGATTTTTTTATGGACTATGCACAGTGTTTGAGATTTTTCGAAGCTCTTGCATTCTTTACTGTTCTATCTGTTAAAGGGGGTGGTGTGGTTTTACAGATGTTGTTTGAATCAATCAATAAAGTCTGCGGAAAAATGATCTCGATGTTGTCGGAGGTTGTGAATTCCTCAATGATGATTGGCTGGCTGTCAGTTCTGTTTCTTGGTGAACATAATAGTGGGACCAGTAAGAACGGAAAAATTGTGATGTCTTGACGTTGAAATTTATAGATGGCGCTATTAATCGGCCATAATAGTCCGCGAGATTCAAATTATTGTTGGAAAATAATTTAAATAGTTCAGGAAATTAAAAATATACCAGAAATAGAAGAATAAAGAAAGCCTGGAATACAATGGACAAAGAGAACGAAAAACAGCATCGCAAGCGTGAGAAAAACCGTTACGGAAATAGTAAATGTCAAATACTTGAGTTTTGCTCTTATAATTTACAACCCTCCAAATTCTCGTTGAGTAAACACTTTCCTCGAAAATCCAAATTTAGAGAAGAAAATAAATTTAACGGTTACGGTCCCATGTCGTAAAATCTCAGTTCTGGTTATTTCGAAAGGTTCTCTGTTTCACGTGACTAACACGTGTGGGCTCTCCATTGTTCATTGTTTCGCTAGGCTGAGGGCCTGAGACCCTTCGCGACGAAGTTTCACGACGTCACACGCTCCCCTTCTTCCCCTTTTTTTTCATTTCCCCGCTTTTCCTTGAGTTTCACTTTTCCCTCTCCCCTGGGCCAGGATTGCGCGCGCAACTTTTGGTCCGGTGGGGTTGCGGACCCAACCCTTGGAGTTAAATTTAAGTTTAAGTCAGTTCCATCGTGGAAATTGGTGGTGAAGCCTTCAGCTTCCAGCTTCTCTCTTCAAATAGTTTTTCAGTAGAGTTTTTCTAGAGTTTATTAAATTCATTTTTTTTGTAGTGCAAAGTTTAAAGTCTGAAGTTGAAGTATTTTGAATAAAAGTGTTTGTGTGCTCTCTTAAGCACTTGTGTTGAATTTATTTCACAATTCAACCCTTCCAACCAAATATTCTGGGATTAAACAATTGGACTTCGATGGAGTGCTCATCAGAGCTTTGGCGGCAAACGAATCTACAGTCAAAAATTGGCGCTCTAAATTTCATTGGCGCTACTGTCCTCCTAGTAACTTCGGTAGGACATAACAAAATGCTAGCTAGGGAAATTTGACTATACTGTACTATAGATGATGCTAGAGAAGTCACGTGATAATGAGAGTATGCTGGTTGTGGCGGGATTTTTTATTTATTCAGTAAAAATAACGATTATCTTCTCATTATTTACTTTTGCTTCGGAATGGAAGCTTTGTAATCGTTTGATTTTCACATTCTCTAATTATTATTGGAAATGATGTAGAATGGCTTGAAACGTAAAAATACGACGTTTGGCGACCATGTCTGTATGTGAATATGTCCACCGCCACCTTCCCGATGGTCAATTTTTAGAAAATTGAGTAATTAAGTGTCTAAATAATTCAAAAAAATTTGAAATTTTGTCATATTATAGGTCTTAATGAGGACTAACTCTGTGCACAATTTCAGCCAGATCGGTCAAGTATTTTTTTAGATGAAACGATTCGTTTTTAGATCGTTTTTCACGAATATCTTTAAAATTATTGGACCGATTTAGATTTTTTTTTTCAAAATATTCGTCTCGACGTCCTCTACCTAGATCAACAAAAACATATATACCCGTCCATACAAAGTTTCTGAGATATTTCCCCTCTTCTGTTTTTTCATTCAAATCCTTGTACGCGCGCTAACGTGTGCAAAAATCGAGATATCGACTTGAAATTTGGACAGAACCTTCCTCTTGTGATAACAAAGGTTCGTATTGAAGACGGGCCCAATCGCACCAGTAGGCTCGGAGATATTCAACTTTTTCTGAAAATCTATTATGTTGAATATCTTTAAAACATCGCAAACAATTCCACTTGATTTTTTTTCAAAATATTCGTTTTGATGTCCTCTACCTAGATCAATTGGAACATCTATACCTATTCATACAAAGTGTTCGAGATATTCCCCCTTTTCTGTTTTTTCATTAAAATCCTTGTACGCGCGCTAACGTGTGCAAAAATTGAGATATCCACTTGTTTTTTTTTCAAAACACTCGTCTCGATGTCTTCTATCTAGGTCCATCAAAATATATGTACACGTTTATACAAAGTTTTGGAGATTCATTCCAATTAATCAATTCCGTATAAGCGAATTTACATTTTTGGTTTTTCCTAAATTCTTTGTTCGCACAATATGACGTGAGAAAATAGTTTCTCCTGTAAATTGAGAAAGGTAACTGCTATGGATCCATTCGGAAGCTTACTACCAATGAAATTGGTTGAAATAAAAAATTAAAATACAAATAACACATAAAGCAACAGTCACATGCCTTCTGCACTACATATAGGGGCGTTCAACTGCTTGTTTTAATGGAAAATGCTGCAGTGAGGTTTTATTTTTCCAATGATGAAATCAAAATCACCTGTGAATATAAAGGGACATGATATACTCATTCGGGGTGATAAGTGATGTTTTGTTAATGACAGATTTTAGAATCAGTTATTGAAATTCCTGACATTATGTGCAGAAAATTTATTTTATTCCAAAGAAGATTTCTCCACATCTTTCTGTATGCTCGAAAGTGAGTGGAAAAATCGAATAATTACCGAGGAAATGGTTGTCAATTCAGTTTCATTCATTCTAAAAATAAGTGATGTAAGTAGAAGTATCAACCAATTTTTCTTATAAAAAATGTTCATAGCTACGAAAAAAATCGGACTTTTTTTTCTAAAATGTGTTGTTGAGATAATTACATGATTCTAAAAAATAGAAAGTTTGAGCTGATAATTAAATTATTAATTCTTAACTCATTTTCATGAGCAATTTAAACAAGAATACTACCGAAAAATCATTGCGATGATAAATCTGGACCTTTTCGAAATTCTCCCTCTCCCGAATAACACATAAGTAATTTTTTAGATATTACCACGCATTATCAAAAAATGTAATTTCCCTCTCGTTGTTCTTTGAATTTTGTTTCTAATTCGCGGTGGTCTCTAAACTAACTACTCTCGGGGGGCAACCAATGAGATCTCTCGGAGGGAACCAATGATGGAGCTCAAACAATGAGATCACTGGATTCTCTTTAATCTCATTGGTTGCCCGCCAAGAGTAGTTAGTGGAGAGACCACTTGATGGCTCCCACATCTACGTTGCGATCGCGAATTATCAGTTTAATAAATAAAAATATGCCAAGAACCTTTTTGTTTGCAGACAAATAAATTTCCTATGCCATCTCACTCTTTCGACATCTTTTCCTAAAGCAACTGCTATAGGCTATCTAGTAGAAGTTTATCCTTCCGAGCGTACCCCCACTCTACATAATTCCCACTCACATGCTTGGACCCCACTCCAAAAATCCACGGATATTATTCTGGAAGGTAACCTATACCAAGATGGAAGTATGATTGGCAGAAAGTTTCAAGGTCAACTAATTGTTACATGAATAAACCATTTAACTATTGAATTTTATACGTTCGTTTTTCTAAACTGAGGAAATTTCATGCTGAAAAACAATGCATGTTTTTTAAAAGGTGTAATAGGCTACATGCATTTCGCTAGGAGATTTATCAAAAGAAATTGCGCGCGTCGAAATTTCAACCAATCACTAGTAATGCACGCGTGTATACTCTATCTCCAGTAAATCTATCTATCAGCAATTTGAATCGTTTTGAACACAGTCTGAGCCTTAAATTGAAATGGATTAATTGTTTAATTGTTCATTGCAATTTCCAGTGTTCCTGAATGTGTCAGTATCATTCAGCCATTGAGCAACGTTTCTGTTGAAATCTATACCTCTGAACTGGCTAGTTACTCCAAAAAATAATCTCTTTTGGGTAAAGAACGTACACAGTACTCATACAATAAATCAGAATGATACTTTCAGATTGTCATTTATTAGATCATTCATTCGATAAATAAATTAAGAAGTATGGACTAAAAGATATTTCTGTTAGGGAACTCTCTTTTCTCCAAAATAACCTCTTAGTATTTGACCCTCCAGCTGCTTATTTCCAAGATAATCATCCAAAGCAATAATTTAGACACTAGTAGATATTCATTGACCTCCTACTCATTAATCGCAATTAATTAGCCCCTTGAATCTGATTTTCAGGAATTTGTTGGAGATTTGGCGACGGGAATGACTCAATCTAGCTTCTAAGACTTTCTGCTGGACATTGTGCTAGATCTCAGTAGCTAGCCCTTTCGGAAGTGATTTTTACTCAGATGATTCGAAGTGAAAACCCAGTGCCTACAAATAATTTAGGGTCTGTGGTAGTTCAGAATACTCTGGAGGTGAATGTTCCTACTCGGCACAGCAGTTTCAGATGAGAATCTGCATCCGAAACTTTCATCATCAGCACTGTTGTCGTAATTATTGTAAGTATCAAATGAAGGCGCAGCTGATTCACGAGGAAGCGATCTATTCATTATTTCATAAATATTTTCTGAGGACAATACTTTTGACTAAATGTTCTGAGAATTTTGCGTGCAATATCGCCGATCCCAAACTATTAATAAATTAATTATAGAAAAAGTGAAACAGTTGGCGCAGAAGAGAAACTCCATTTTCACTGGTTGACACTAAACCATCTGAATAATTTAGGTGCTAGATTGATTCCTGTCTATTTAAATATTCATAAATACATTGTCAACTTGTACATAATTCATTTTTGGTAAATGTGCATATTAAAGCCCGCACCTCCGATCTCTACCAAACTCAACAGGATGACTCACCCGACAATGGGTAAAGAATACAATTTCGACCGTCGGACAGATCTGGGAATTGTCAATTAGATGATGGAATGAGTTACTTACCTCACCGCTCTTTGCATTACCCGGGGCCAACGGCGTGGACGTGGCGGTGACTGGCCCCATGAACAACACATGTGGGCACACTTAAGACAACGGACAATACAAAGAGATGAATATGCGGTGCCCTCGTTGCCCCCACTGTAACAAAACCTAAATCCACCACTGCCCTCCATGCAGCAAAAATTAAATTAATAACTTAAGATTACAGTGAGGAGAACAACAAAGGCCTCTGGTGGGGTGTAACTTTCACAAGCCAAAATGGCTTGG